TAGTGAGTTTATGCACAACGACTTGGATATGATATGAATGTGCTGAGAAGGCAAAGGAAGATCACGTTGTCAAGAAACTGCTGGATATGGAGGCATCAGCAGTTACAAGAATGGGGAAGACACAAGAATCAAATGAAGGAGGATCTATCAATATGGTATGTGAGAGAGGTCTGATCACTGACAGGGCAGTGGGGAGGAAGTACATATAAACCACCAGCCTGGATGAGGATGAGACTGCTGAAAAACAGGAAGAAGACAATAAACTTCAGAGTTCACACAGCTCCAGGGAGAAGCAAGAACCAAAGCTTTACCCAGGGAAACGAGGGCTTGGAAATTGCTCAGCATCTGATCCTGGTAAAGCATCTTGTCTTCATCTTCCAGCAGCTCCCACTCCTTCAGTGTGAAATACACAGCCACATCCTCAAACACCTCCCAGAGCTGCAGTCACAAGTGTTACACCATCAGTGTCTCCTGTTCCAGCTGCTTCCAGCCCCCACAGCCCTGTCTGGAATCACTCTGTATTACAACTCATTGCAGGCTTTGTCATGACAGGTAAGGGTGCAATATTCCCGTCTTCAGCTGACATGCGATGTGGATGCAGCTGTGGACATAGGAGTTCATGCGTCAGCCTTAGCCCAGCTCATCACATGCTACTTGCTCAGTCCTTTGAGGAAGCCTGGGCAGTACTTTTACGGGCAGGGAGCCCCGGCTCCATGCGCTCTGACAAGGCCTGCCCATGCCAACACTTCTCTGGCTAGCTGTACTTAGGAGGGAGCTCCTGCTAATGCCAGCTTGGTGTGTTTGCAGCTTCCATCACCACAGGCTTGATGCTCTTCAGGTCTCTCTGTACCCCAAATTCTTTACAGCACTTATGGCTCCTCCTGCTCTCTGCCCCAGCTGTACTCCCACACCCAACTGGACCTAGTGCTCTGCTCACCTCCACACTCTCCCCCTGCTTTGAAGATTTGCTCTGCCGCCTCTGCACTTGGCTTGGCTCAGGTATCACGGAGCCCCTCTCCTCCAGTCTCCCTGGGGAAGTCCTCTGCAGCTCCAGGTTAACAGGCCCCTCCTCAGGAGGCTGCTGCTCAGCTCTGCTCAGGGTCCCAGCACCTGTGTGCTGCAGAAGAGAATGCACAGGTTAGCACTGGTGCTGCTGGCACAGGCAAAGCCCTGCTAGTCTCCTGTACTGGTCTGGAACTGAGGCAGACGGAGGCTTCAGTGTGTGGAAGAGGGGGGAGGCTGAAGAATCAAAGTCCCAGAGGTCTGGGTAACAGACCTCCACGGGCACGAAGCTGGAGATGAGCCCCAATAACTCTAACCCAGTGCAGGTTGGTGATGATCACACCACCACGACAGAGCCTGCAGGAACATCACTCCCTAGAAAAGAAACTCGAGGGATGTAGGAACTATATCAGATCCTCATGTTAAGAGAAGGAGGAGGGGAAATGCAAGGTCAGTCTTCTCCAGGGAAAAAAAGAACAGACACTCTGTTGGAGCACTGACCCCATCAAAATATTCCGGCAGAGAGATGGATGCTGCCTCCTGCTGCCACCGCTCCTTACCTTCTCCTTGGGAAGGGCCTTGTTTGGGCAGGCTGACTCCTGCTGCATTCTGCAGTCGCAGCCATGCAGCTGGGAACTGTGCGCTGTCAGTGGCGGGCAGGGGCGAGCGGTGGTGGTGGGTGGCAAAAAAGGGAAGCAGCAGGGGAAAGGTGATAATGGCAGCTGGGGGAGAAGTGGCAACAAGCTGGCGGGAGTGCAGGGCCCACGCCAGTGCCCTAGGGCTAAGGCTGGCGGGGGCCCAGGGCAGGGCGGCAGGAGCGCAGAGCCCGGGCTGGCAGGGACTCTGTGGGGCTGGGCCGGCTCTGCCCTCTCCCTGCAGCAGGAGCCCACCCAGCCCAGACCCTGCGGTTTCCGGCTGGCTCCTGCTGCATCCCATGGTCCTGGCTACACACCCGGAAACTGCGTTCTGCCAAAGCGGTAGGCAGGCAGTGCTTCTCCATGTCCCTTTTAAACCGTGGAGCCCAGAACTGCACACAGTATCCAGATGAAGCCAAGCCAGTGCTGAGTAGAAAGGTACTATCACCTCCCATGTCTTGCACCTAATGCTTCTATTGATGAAGCTCAAAACTGCATTGGTCTTCTGTGCAGCTGCATCACACTGCAGCCTCACATTGAGTCTGTGATCTATCAAGACTCCCAGATCTGTTTCCATAGAGCTGCCATCCAGCCAGGTGTCCCCCATTTTGGATCTGTGTTTTTTATTGTTCCTCCCAAGGTGTAGCACCTTGCATTTGTCCACATTCAACTTCATCCTGTTAGCTGGAGCCCAACTTTCCAATCTGTTGAGATCCTTCTGAATTGTGCTCACATCCTCCAATGTTGTCACAATCCTTCCAGGTTACTTTCCTCTGCAAATTTGCTCAAGAAGCTTTCTATGCCAGCATCCAGATCATTAATAAACACTTTGAACAGCACCAGAATCAGGACAGACCCCTGTGGGAATCCACTTAAATCCTCCTTCCATTCTGATATGGACCCATTAATTATTACCCTTTGCTTACAGCTACTGATCTAGTTATCTATCCACCTTCTTTATCTAAATAATCCTTCTTAAGTGTCTGGCTGTAGCTTAATTTTTTTGTGAAGACTGAGGCACAGTCTGTGTTGCATAGCCCCGTCTTCTTTGCATCTTCAGTTAGGAGCTCCCCCTGGCTTGCAAACAGAGGTCACACAGCTGCCTTGGCCCTTCTCTCACCAACAGGCTTGCAGAACCTCTTCCTGTCCAGCTCGATCTTTATCTTTGCCTTCCTGGTTTTGTCCCTGCAGGCTCATGTTATTTCCTGGTACTCATCCTTGGTGATCTGCCTGTTGTTCCATTGCCTGTATGCTTTCCATTTGCTTTTGCAGCACCCTAGAAGCTCCTTGTGCTTCCATCATTGGTCTCTTGCCATTCTTCTTGTGCTTCCATCATGGCAGGCCAGTTTCTTGTGGTGCTTCCAACAATGTGTCCCTTAGAAGCTCCCAGCCCTTCTGGGCACGCTTACCCTTCAATCTACCCTCCCATGACACCCTGCCTATTAGCTTCTTGAGTCAGACGAAATCCAGCTCTTTGCAACATAGCATCCTAGCTCCCTGTCTTAGGATCTGGAATTCCAGCATATCGTGATCACTTCCTCCCAAGTTACCCATCACCTTCACATCCTCCACCAGTTCTTCCCTGTTGGTCAGGACAAGATCCAAGAGAAATGATCCCCTAGTTATATCCTCCACTTTCTGGAACAGAAAGTTGTCCTCCACGTGTTAGGAACTGGCCACCCACAAAGCAGGCCCTGCCCCATCCCAGCTCTAGGCATCTGGCTTGCTGCTGGTCTTTGCAACAAGCCAGCTGGCAGCTGGGGCAGGGGACAGGGTCTCCTTCAGGCATCTTTTGGAAATGCAGCAGAGATGCTGCAGTGGTTCAGGGGCTGCCAGGTGGACTGCTCCAGCTCATGGCCCACACCAGCTTATTCTGACCCCGGGTAGCATCTGTCCCCTGTTCCCACCATGGCGACCAGCAGGCAGCCCAAGAGCTGGACACCTATGGCAGAAGGGCAGTGTTCAGGGCATGGGACTTGGCTTTGGCCAAGCTCGCCATCCATCAGACCTACCCTCCAGAGACTTTTTGGGGTGGGGTGTAGGCTGGGACCAGGGTTCTTGGGGCTCAGAGCTGGAAGGTCTGGCTGGCCTTGTACCATGCTCAAATACCCCGTAGCTAGCTGCATCCCTGCCTTGAAGAGCCTGCCTTGTGCTGCACCAGCTGAGGCTGCTCCTGGCTTCTCCACCCTAGAGCTCATTAGATCCCGGCCCCCATCTCCGTGCAGACCCAGGCACCTCTGTGAAGTCCCCACGCCTCCCTCATGGGGCACTCAGTTGAAACAACAACGGATGGTCAGAGCAGGGGACCAGGGGACCAGGGGACCTGACTTCTCTCCCAGCTCTGGGCAGAGGGTAGAAGAGGGGCTGAGCAGTCACCAAGGGGTGAGGCTGGTCACACAGACTTCTGGGTTCCTGGTGGACTGAGGGGGGCAGGTGTGCGGGGCATCATCCCATCACATGATGGTGCCTAATCCTTAGTGATGGACAGGAGCTAGAAGTCTTGCTGCTAGGCCAGGGTTAGGGGTTGTATTTCTCAGTCTCAGATCCCAGCAAAGACAAGGAGAACCAAGGGCTGCGGCTACCAGCAGTAGGCAGCACCTAGCCCAGGGGAACACAGTTGTTACCCCAACCCAGCCACAGGCCACCTGCCACTGCAGCCCCACAGGAAGCCCTAGATGCCCCCCTGTTCCTGCCCAGGTTCCCTCCCTGCCTTATGCGCATGGCCCCATCCCCTCAGCTGCCCCCACCTCTACTCCAACCCCTGTTGTCCCAGCTATCCCAGCACTCAGCCCCACCCCATCATGCCTAAGACCCAGGCCCACCTCATGCCCCACAGTCTGACCCTGACACTCATGGCCCCACCAGCCCACTTCTCCAGCACAGGCCCTTGACCCCAGTGAGCCAACCTCTGCACCTCGTTACAACCCCACATCTCCCTCTACCCACCCCAGTCCCTCTGACTCCCACCCCTTTGCAGCCCCTTCCACCCCACTGACCCCATCAACCCCCTCAACCCTACACCATCCCCCACAGCCCTTTGGGGCACAGCACCCCCCCTCGAGCTCCTTGTGGTCCCATGAGCCGTTTCCCCTCAAAATCCCTCCCAACACAGCCCCACCCCCCAGCCATAGACCATGGGGGTGGGCTGGATCAATGCAATCCTCCACCCTACAGCTGGGGCCACAGCTGTACCATATCTCTTTGCCTCCGCTTTATAGCTTCCTCCTGCCTGGATCTGTGGGCCACAGCCCCTAGACTGCATAGCCTCCTGCCATCCTCACCCCAGCCCTCCCTGTCTCCAGCTGGCAGTGGGTTCAAGTCCCCTGGGAAAAAAATGCACCCCATGCAAGGCCTGGGAAGCAGCACAGTTTTTATTGGACACCCTGGGGGGAGCGGAGAAGCATTAGCAGGAGTAGATGGCAGACGGGACAGCAGTGGAAGACAGGGCAGCCTGGCTGGTAAAAAATCCAGGGCTGTTAACACAGACAGTGTAGAGAGATTAGCAGGAACTCAGTGGTTAACAATGAGCCACAGTCACATGATTCCTTCAGCTTCACCTGGAGAGCAGCGTGGCTGTCACTGCCAAGCAGTCAGTGTTGAGCTATGTGGTCAGGACTCAGGTGGTGAGGCTCACCCCCAGCTCCCCTGGCTCCCTCCTGCCTGGGCTTTCTCCTCCCTTGCCAGCATCGTCCATCATGCGGCTGCCTGGGAAGCAACTGAGGCTGCGAGTTCTGGAAGCTGAGCCAGCCCTGGCGCCCCCAGCCAACACTGGCCTTACCCCCCCAGGCCCCTTGAAACGACAGCTTTCCTGACCCTGGAGCCAAGGGGCAAAACTGACGGCAGCTTTTCCCACCAAAGGTACTGTGTGGCAGAGGGGGTCAGGGGAGTACATCCTTGGAGACCTCAAGGGGAAAAGCCTTTTGGGGACAAAACACCTCGGCAGCCAGACACAGGGCCCAGCTCAGGGCAACTAGAAAAGCCTGAAGGGAGGGATGCTAGGTGGGAGCCAGGGGTCCCAGGGCTTTCCTGGGTACCTGGAAGTTGATGACCCCCAGGGTGTGAGCTGGGAGGCCTGAGGCACCTGGCATGGGGACCCCGGGGAAGAGGCTCTTGTGTGCTCAGTTGCAATAGTCCTCAGTGCAATGAGAACAGCTGTCTTCATCAGGACGGCAGTGGAGGCTGTCACTGGAGTACCGGATGACCTACAGCATTAGAGAGAGGCCCGAGGCATGAAGGTGGAGTGCTGAGATCAGCCCTGAAGGAGGAAGGGGCTCAAGATGCTGGAGCAGGGGCTTAGAGCTAGGACTTCTGGTTCTGACCCAACTCCAGAGCTGAGCGGGGGCTCAGTGTGCGAGAGCGGGGAGTGGGATCCAGGACCCGGGACACAATCCCAGCCCTAGAAGGGCAGTGGGGTTGGTGGGCTGTTGGAGCCCAGACCCCTGGGTTCCCTCCCAGTTTCTACGCCCTGAAGGGTGATGAGTTCCTGGCTGTGCCAAGACTGATATATCCCCAGTTGACCCTGGACAGAGCCTGCTCCCTTCTGCTCCATGCCAGGCCCTATTTGTGCCAGCATAAGGGGATTCTGCCTCAGTCCATGCAGGACAGGATCCAGGACACATGCTATGTACCCTGTGTCCATGTAGCAGGGACCAGAGGCTGCAACAGTGCACAGACCCTCCCCCTTCTCCACCCAGCCAAGGCCAGACCCCACTCACCTCGTACAGCGGGCCCCACTGCTCTGAGCCGTGGCAGGCACTGACCCCTGGAGAGGGAGGCAGGGAGAGGCTTCGTCTGTCCCAGCACCTGGCCCCCTGCTTCACCCCTCCCCACCACAGCCGCCGCACCCCACGGGCAGGACATACATGTAGGAAAGACCCCAGGATCCACCCCAGAGCCTGACCCCAGGCACACGGCTTTTCCTGCCCCAGCCATGAGCCCACTCCCAGGGCACTGTAGTCACTGCCTCCCTGCGGCTAAGCTCTGCCCCTTGTCTGCAGCTATGCAGCAGCTCCCATGTGGCCCTGGCTGCCCAGCTGCTTCGTGTCCTGATGTGACCTCCTCTGGCCACTTCACCACCACCTGGGGGGCTCTTACCCAGCTTCACTGCCTGTGACTGCTCCTCCAAGGGGGCTCTCCGGGCCAGGCAGTACACCACAAGGTGAGTCAGAACCAGTAGCAGCAGGACTCCAGTCCCAGTGCCTGCCAGGAGCTTGGGGCTCAGCTGGTGGCAGTCTGAGCCACCTGAGGGGACAGAGCACATGTCATCAGCCCGGAGCCCTGGGGCAGTGGGGCTGGCTGGGGGGAGTGGGGCTGAGAGTGTTGCGGGGGAGCAGCAGCAGGGCGATGGAGGGACCTCTGTGGTGGGGGCTGGGCTGGGACAGCAGCATGGACATTGGCAGGAAGGATTCTCTGCCCTCATGACTGTGGGACACTGGCTTTCAAGGTAAAAAGGCCTGAGACCCCCTCAGGGCTGTGAGGACAGGATTGGGGAGCCAGAGGCCTGGCTGGGATTGGGCCCATTGCACTGGGAATGGCACAGGCCCTGGACAGAGCCAGCCTGGGGCCGGCACTGCACCACCATCTGCAGACAGACAGCTCCTGCCCTGGCTGAGAGGGGCCCTGGGACACATACCAGGTCCCCGCCTGGCTCTGGCCAGGGAACCCCTCTTGGTTGATCCCAGAGGTCGCTTCTGAACCCACTGGGTCCTACTCTGAGGTGCCTGGTGTCAGCGAGTGGAGAGGGAACAGCAGCATGGGGTGGTGGCTGCAGCCTCGTTTCCTCCCAAGAATAAGCTCTTTCCAGAGAATGATGCAGACCCAGATCTCTGAGAACAGGCCCTAAGGGCAGGCTGACATGCCCTGCGCCATCCAGCTGTGAGGGGGTACTCTGTGCTTGGCTGTGAGGCTGGACCTGGTCAACACTGGGGCATGGCTGGCGGGTGAGCTGGGTGGAGATCTACCTGGGTTTGGCCTTCCAGAGCAGGCTGCTCCTGGGAGCGAGGAGTCTCTGGGTTTCTGCCTGTCCCACCCAGCACAGGGTCCCTTGCCCCACCTGGCCCTTACACATGACCGTGATGCTGAGGGAGTCGGAGGCAGCTGTCCCCAGGGCGCTGTGCGCCTTGCAGTGGTACTCCCCGGCGTCCTCCAGCCGCACCTGTGGTAGCACCAGCTCCTGCTGCACTATGTCCAGCTGCTTGCCATCCTTGTACCAGGAGAAGACCAGGCCAGCATAGTTGCTGCCATCAAACTGGCACATCAAAGCCAGGGGCTGCCCCACGAGGGGCTGGACGCCTGGTGAGGCCACCACGCAGATCGTGAAGTTGGCTGGGGAGGGAGCAGAGACCATGGACCAAGGGCACCCCCCATGAGTGAGCCAAGATCCCCAGGGGAGCAGCCCCACCCACCAGCACCCCTTGCCTCCATCCCCAGCAGCTGTGGTGAAGCTCCCACCACCACCACCAGCCATGCCTCCTTGGTCATGAAAATGGGACAGGCCATGGCTCTAGGCCAGAAGAGCTGAACCTTTCTACCTACTGGCCAGAGGAGTGGCACAGGGCCCCCCAAGGCTTGGCACCCCCCACTACCCCCAGATGATGGGATTGAGTCCTGGGGGTCTGGCTCTGCCCCCTCCTGCCCCATGTGCTCCCTGGGACCTGGCATTGCCCCCTCCTGCGCCCAATTCACTAGGATTGGGTCCTGGGGACCCGGCACCACCCTCTCCTGCCCCCAACTCACTGAGATTAGGCTCCAGTGACCTGGCACCACCCCCTCCTGCCCCCTATGTGCCAGGATTCAGTCCTGGGGGCCTGACACTGCCACTTCCTGGCCCCAATATGCCAGGACTGGGACTTTGGCTAGGGGTCAGATCCTTGCTCACTCCCCTCCTTGAGGGTCCCATGGCAGAGAGGCAGGCATGACCTACCTTTCACAGACACGTAGGTGATGGGCGACACCAGCAGGTACCCATGGCCGGCACCCGGAACCCAGTGCAGACAGCTGTAGTTGCCCCCATCAGAGACCGTGGCCCTCTCGACCCGCAAGAAGTGACGGACGTTGTAGAAATCCAAGCCATGGACCCACAGGGCAGGTGCGGGGCCCATGGGGCTGCTCCCAACGCAGTGCAGGGTGAATGTGTCACCCTCTCGGATTGGGCCCACACCCACTCGTTCCACCAGCACCCGTGGTGGTGCAGGCAGCTCTGCAATGCCCCAGGAGTGGCTCAGAGCCAGGTCTTCAGCCCCTGTTGCAACCCCGCCCACCCCACCTCCACCTCCACCCCACAGCTCCCACTGACCCGCACAGGACCCTGATCTGGGCAGTGCCCCTGCCCCATCCACACCCCTATTCCCACCCCCATGCTACAGCCACCTCCTGACTCCTCATTGGCCCCCAATCCTGGCCTGGAGACACCCAGTTCCCCCTTGCCCCTCCTGGGGTAAGATGTGAACAGTGCCCAGAGGGGAAGGATCCTGACCTTCGGGAGGGCTCCAGGCTCCCTTGAGGAGGCAAGGTCCCCTATAGCCCTGCAGCTGGCATGACAGAACCTGCCCTTGGCTGGTGAGGAGGGCACCCAGGTTCAGCATGCTGGTGCCGTGCTTCATCTGCAGCGCCTCAGCCCCAGCCCCGGCATACCAAAGTGGAACGTAGGGGCAGCTGCCTGGCACTGAGCATGTCAGGGTAGTCGACAAGGTGGCCCCCAAACTTGAAAACAAGAAGAAGGTCGGGCAGGGATGCTCTGTGTAAAGCAGGGAGCCGCAGCCATCAGCACAGAGCCAATGCCCCAGCACAACTGAGACGCTAGCCCAAGCCTTTCACCCAAGGCAGCAGCTTTCCTTGACCCCAAGCTGAAGCTGGGATAGAACCCAGATGTCCAGACTCTGCCCCTTGCTGGAGCCACCAGGCCCTGCCCCAGCCAAGTTGCTCCCTCCTGGCAGTTTGGATCAATGCATCTCAGAGCAACTGTCCCACTGCTCTGCTGCTGCTCTGCCCACTGCTCTGATACTGCCCTTCTACTGCTCTGCCTACTGATCTGCGCAACCATGTGAGTGTCAAACACATGGCCTGCAGGCCAGATCTGGCCTGTGGAGCTGAATGACGTGGCTCACATGGGGCCCAGGGACGCATCAGCACAGGGCACTGGTCCCACCCTGGTCTCCCCATGACCCAATGCTGATCGCACACCCCTGGGGCTGGGAGAGCGTGACACTCCTGGCTAATGGGGAGGGCTGCCCCGAGGCACAGCCAGCTCATGGGTATGTGGGTCAAGGAGTACAGTACCTGTCACTGTGAGGCGGAGCCTCTGCGGGCTCCTCCAGGTCCTTTTCTGGGTCTTCAGCTTCACGTGGTAGAAGCCACCATCACCTAGCTGTAGGTTGCCCAATCTCAAGCTGCAGTTGTGCCCCAGGTGCCCCAAAAATTCAGCACGGCCATTGAACATCATCCACTCCTTTGTGCTGGAGTCATATATGGTTTTACTCTGGCCCTGGTGCTGGCCCCAGTACCACACCACAGCCTGCAGCTGCTCCCCCACAGGCAGTGTGTAGGAGCAGGACAGCATCACACAGGAGCCCTGCTGCACCCACAGGGGCCCTTTGGGCAGGGTCACCCCCCAGGCCTGGGCACAGGCACCTGGCAAGAGGAGAGACAGCAGCATTGGCACCATAAGGCAATGGCCACAAGGGCTCATGGCACCCACTCTTGGCAGCATGCAACCCCTTTTGACCCCTGCCCTGCTCCCTGCCCCCTGGAACCACCTCGGACCCCTGCCTTGCCCCCTGGCACCCCCTGCACTGCTCCCTGCCCCCTGGTGCACCTTGTGACCCCACCCTACTCCCTTCCCCTTGGCACCTGCTGCCCTGCTCCCTGCCGCCTGGGGAACCCTTGTGACACCTGCCCTACTCCCTGTTCCCTGCCCCGCTTCATTACCTTCCATGTCCCCTGTGTCCTGCCCCCGACCTGTGACCCCTACCCTTTCCCCCAGCACAGCACCCCTGTCAAGCCACGAACGCCCAACCCCATCCTATCCTACTGCGCCAGCCCCAGCCACACTGCAGGTACCACCCGTCTCCCAGCCCCACTCACTGCTCAGGGTGCCAAGGGGCAGCAGCAAGGGCAGCAGCAGGAGCAAGTCCATCGCAGGTGTTTCTGTATGACCTGTGGGGAACAGAGGCTCGCAGAGCCTGGTGCTCGTCTGGGCGCATGCCCCCACCATGGGTGGTGGCAGAGAGGCTGGACCCAGAGTCCTCCTTGCTCAGGGGATTCTCAGGAGGCAGGACCCCCAGCAACTCTTCTGGCTCTGCTTCGGGGGTCTCCCAGCCCCCCTGGTCCCAGCATCCAGCTTGTGTCTGTCCCTTCCCCACCCCCCTTGGCTGATGCCCAATCCAAGGTGAAGCCTTGAGTTGGGCACAGTGCTCAGCCGCAGTCTCCTCCATGCCTCAGGATGCTGCCCCCTCTCCCCTCACCTTGCACTCGGATATCTGGGTCCTTTCTGGAGTGGCTGCTTGGAACGGTTCTGCCTAGTGCCCACAAGCTCTGCTGGCACCCGTCCCTCTGCCACCCACCATTGACCTTATTCCTTATCAGTGTCACTTCCTTCTGTTATCTGATGTCCCAGGTTCTGCTGAGGGGTGGAGGGTGGGGAGGGCTCTGTGGGTCTTCTGGGGCATTGGGGGTTGCAGGAGGCTTGGGGACTATCCCCACGCTCAGCAAGGGGTCCAAGAGGAAGGAGCAAGGGCTACCAGGGGCCTTCCCACTGTGGAAGGAACATGGAGCCTGCAGAGTAGAGCTGGGGGCTGGAAGCTGGGATGCCTGGGCTTA